TTTCAGATACAAATAACTTTTTTTTCTGATTTTAAGCATAATACATTATAGAAAAATTGATACATGTAGATAAAAAGAAAATGAAATCATTTATGGTTTTCACCAATACCACCATATCCTTTCCTCAGAAAAAGCCAATGTTAATATTCCCCTTCTTTCCATTCTCTCTACTTTCTGCAGGATAATGTGGGAGAAGTAAGGCTACAAACTGAAGCCATATTTATCACCCATTAAAAAATGTGACATGGGCCAGGCACAGTAGCTCATGTCTGTATTCCCAGCACTTTGGGAGGCAGAGTGGGGTGGACCACAAGTTCAGAGTTCGAGACCAGCCTGGCCAACATGATGAACCTCCATCTCTACTAAAAATACAAAACATTAGCCAGGATTATAGGTGGCACGCCCCTGTAATCCCAGCCACTTCAGAGGCTGAGGCAGGAGAAGTGCTTGAACCTGGGAGGCAGAGGTTGCAGTGAGCCGAGATCACGCCACTGCACTCAGCCTGGGCAATGGAGCAAGACTCTGTCTTGAACAACAACAAAAGTATGTCATGAACATCTTTGCATACAGATGCAAAAGATGTGTATATGTGTCCAGGTATATAAATCTACATTATTATTTTATTGGCTTATGATATTCTATTGCATATGTTTGTGTGTGTGTGTGTGTATATATATATATATATATATATACACACACACACACACATACACACACACATATGTGCACACACACATACAATGATCTCAAATAATTTTTCACTGCTGTTTTCTAATTTTTGCTGCAACGACTACAAAGAGAAGTGAACATTCCTGCACACACATTTTTAGAACATCTGGTTAATCCTAAGGATATCCTTAAAACAAAATATTTTTTCTCTTTTTTTTAAAATTGAGACGGAATCTTGCTGTGTTGCCCAGGCTGGAGTGCAGTGGTGCGATCTCCACTCATTGCAACCTCCACTGCCCTGGCTCAAGCAATTCTCATGTCTCAGCCTCCTGAGTAGATAGGATTATAGGTGTGTGACACCACGCCTGGCCTTTTTTTTTTTTTTTTTTTTTTTTTTTTTGAGACTAAGTTTGGCTTTTGTTGACCAGGCTAGAGTGCAATGGCACCATCTCAGCTCACCACAATCTCCGCCTCCTGGGTTCAAGCACTTCTCCTGCCTCAACCTCCCGAGTAGGTGGGATTACAGGCATATGCCACCATGCCCAGCTAATTTTGTATTTTTAGTAGAGATGGGGTTTTACCAAGTTGGCCAGGCTGGTCAAACTCCAGAACTCAGGTGATCCACCTGCCTCAGCTTCCCAAAGTGCTGAGATTACAGGCATGAGCCACCAAGCCCAGCCTACAGCTCTTTCTAAAGAATTATTTGGCCGGGCGTGGTGGCTCACGCCTGTAATCCCAGCACTTTGGGAGGCCGAGGCGGGTGGATCACGAGGTCAAGAGATCAAGACCATCCTGGTCAACATGGTGAAACCCCGTCTCTACTAAAAATACAAAAAATTAGCTGGGCATGGTGGCGCGTGCCTGTAATCCCAGCTACTCAGGAGGCTGAGGCAGGAGAATTGCCTGAACCCAGGAGGCGGAGGTTGCGGTGAGCCGAGATCGCGCCATTGCACTCCAGCCTGGATAACAAGAGCAAAACTCCGTCTAAAAAAAAAAAAGAATTATTTATGCAAAATTCTCTTCCCTTTCTACATGTTAACCCATGACCTATCTGAGGGGTACGAAACACATGGAATCAGCTCCTTTGAAATCTGTAAATTCTACATATGGGACATCTGCCTTACTTTGGTAGGCAATATTTATGCTATCACCACTTCATATAAACCTAGGCAGTTTCACTTAACATCCTGTTATATCAGTTTACTGAACTATTTTCTATCTCCCCCTAGCTGTTCATTGCAATATTCTAAGCACCTTTAAAGCTGCCTGGAACCATTCAAGAATTATTTGTTGAATGAATGAATGAAAACTTGAACTCTTATTTAAAGGATATGAAAAAAATTAAGCCTGTTGAATCATACTTCCAAAATGTGCTCTAGAAAGATAATATCAACTGCACTCCCTTATTGATGGCAGTATACAAGAGCCCCTATTTCTCTAAACACTATTAGAAAAGATCCATCCTCTTTCTGAACATTTCACATTCTTGATTTCAAATGAGATCATCTCTTATTACACTTATTGTTAATATGTTCTACATCTTTTTAAAAATTTTCTCTCCATTGCCGAATGCTGTTTACTATTGTGACACCTGTTCTTTTCTAACTAATTTAAGGTCTACTTTTAAAAACACATTTGCCCAAAACTGCACATATTTCTCATGTTTGTGTTTCTTTCCTTGAGGACATTTTGCTTTATAGAAATGTTTTATTGATACAGTTAGAACTATTTTTCATTTCCTATCCATTTCAGTTTGGGTGTCATTCTTAGTTTTTCCCTAACTCTAAAGCAGCACTTCTTGTCCAACAGCAATATGATATAAATGACAAATGCTAGCCAAATATGTAATTTTAATTTCCTATTAGCCACATTTTTTTAAAAAAGTTAAAACTGGCAAAATTAGTTATATTTTTTATTTAACCTAATATATAAAAAAATTTCAACATATTTTTTAAAATGTTAAAGATATTTTACACTTTTTTTTTTAATACTAAATTTGTAAAGTCCAGCACATCTCAATTTAGACTAGTTGCATTTCAAGTGCTCAATACTGACATGTAGTTAGTGGCTACCATACTGGACAATATAGCTCTAAAATATAAAACTTCACCTGTATTTTCCTCTAATATTTTTGTTTCATTTTATAGAATTTTTTTTTACCACCCCACATTCTTTTTGGTGTCAGGTATGAAAGACTCTAACTTAATTTCCCCTCCACAAAGCTAGCTAGTTTTCCCCGCTATAAAATACTACCTTATAGCCAGGCATGGTGGCTCATACCTGTAATGCCAGCACTTTGGGAAGCCAAGGTGGGTGGATCACTTGAGGACAGGAGTTCAAGATCAGCCTGGCCAATACGGTGAAACCTCATCTCTACTAAAAATATAAAAATTAGTCTGGTGTTGTGGTGCATGCTTGTAATCCCAGCTACTCGGGAGGCTGAGGCAGGAGAATCGCTTGAACCCAGGAGGCAGGGGTTGCATAAGCCTTGTGCCATTGCACTCCATCCTGGGCAATACAGCAATCCTCTGTCTCAAAAAAAAACCCAAAAAACAAAAACAAACAAAAAAACAACCAACCTTACATATAGAATCTCCATGCATAACTGAGTCTAATCCTGGATCCTAATCTGTCTGTTTCTACATCAATAACAAAATGTTAGGCCGGGCGCGGTGGCTCACGCCTGTAATCCCAGCACTTTGGGAGGCCGAGGTGGGTGGATCACGAGGTCAAGAGATGGAGACCATCCTGGTCAACATGGTGAAACCCCGTCTCTACTAAAAATACAAAAAATTAGCTGGGCATGGTGGTGTGTGCCTGTAATCCCAGCTACTCAGGAGGCTGAGGCAGGAGAATTGCCTGAACCCAGGAGGCGGAGGTTGCGGTGAGCCGAGATCGCGCCATTGCACTCCAGCCTGGGTAACAAGAGCAAAACTCCATCTCAAAAAAAAAAAAAAAAAAAAATGTTTCATCATCTGTAGTGTTAGAATTCATTTTACTAAACTGTATATCTTTATTCTTTTCTTTCAGAATTGCTCTGACTTTCCTGTATTTGTCCTTTCAAATAGACTTTAAAACCGTCCTTAATAGAAATCTCACTCAGATTTTGACAAGGACTATGTTCAAAATATGGATTATGTGGGATAAATAGATTTCTTCACAATAGGAAGTCTTCCATTCAAAAGCATCAAAGTTGTCTCTCTTTTCATATAATTTAGCAAGTTTGTATTTAATGGTCTTCATACAGGCCTTACACATTTATGTTTCTTCCTATTTTATTTGACATTTAAAAAAAATGTATTTGTAGAACATGGGAAATAGAAAATTATCTGTGTATAAGAAAAAACATACCATTGACTAAAAATCAATGTTTTATGTTAGTGTGGTTTTATACAACTAAAGTACATTTATAACGAAACCACATAGAACAACAGGTTTATCAGTTTACTCCCCTAATTAATTGCTTACTTGCAATGCCAAATGCATCTCCAATCCCCGAAGTTAAGATCAGTTTTGTTTAAATTTTCATCTTCAGTTGGCTTCTCCAAGTTAGTATTAGACCAGAGTTGCAAATAGCTGGAACCAGTTAAAAGACGACTGCCTAAAAAAAATTATTCATCATTTATTATTTAGGTATTTAATACTGACTTAAATTACATGCTCAATAATTTCATATAAAACAACTACTAAAAAAAGTGAAATAACAAAAAAGAATTTTGAGGAAAGGAGGAGAAGGCTATATTTTAATTTTATTAAAATAGCTTGAGATAGAAAGGAAGACATCTTAAAACCTCTCCTTTAACAACCATTTAATGAGCATCTTCTTTGTACCAGGCACTGTGCTAGGCATTGGAAACACAATGACAAAACACTGTCCTTTTTCGTCTTGAGTGTATATTTCAGTAGAAAGACATGGGAATATCATGATACCATGTAAAAGTATTATATACATGATAGAAATCGTGGGCTTTATGGAAGCCCACAGGAAGGAGACGTTAATGTGTACCTGTAGTAAAAGTGCCAGGAAAAGTGATGAAATGCAACCTGGTCCTTAATGGATGAGTAAGCAGAAGAGACAGGCATTTCAGAAAGGAGACCTAACATGAACAAAGGCATGAAGACATGTAAGTTCATATATTTTCCCAAGAATGCCTTTTAATCTGGTATAGGTTAAGGAATAAGATACACGGAAAGGCTAGAAAAAAAAATTGCCATGGAAAAAATGCCAAGGTGAGACTGTGAAGAGTTTTTCAAGTTCATAGGGTTTGGGCTTTGTTATAGGTAGTTGGGAGTAAAAGGTTTTCAAGTGGCAGTAGGGGGTCCTGGGGGAGTTGTTATGTAATAGGATCTGTATTTTACAACAAGGGGGCTTAACTGGAGGAAGGTCAGTCAACAGATGGAGAGGCCTGTGAACTTCCCTCTATTGAGATAACATACAAAAGTTGCACATACAATATGTGCATTTTTCCAGAAAGATAATCTGTAACTTTCATCAAAATTTCAAAGACTCTAGTATACAAAGAAGGTTAAAAAATACTTTTTAGTCAGGTGCGGTGGCTCACGCCTATAGCCCCAGTACTTAGGGAGGCCGAGGCAGGCAGATCACTTGAGGTCAGGAGTTCAAGACCAGCCTGATGAACACGGAGAAACCCTGCCTCTACTAATAATACAAAAACTAGCCGGGTGTGGTGGCACATGCCTGTAATCCCAGCTACTCGGGAGGCTGAGGCAGAAGAATTGCTTGAACCCAGAGGCCAAATTACATTGAGCCAAGATCGCACCATTGCACTCCAGCCTGGGTAACAAGAGCGAAACTCCGTATCAAAAAATAAATAAATAAATACATACTTTTTAGAAAAACTCTAGAGACAAACAACATCAGGGAAAACACAAATGTGTGGTTAACCAAGTATTAAACTATTAATCCTGGTTAATTAACTATAAAAACTCAGATGGTAAATCATGAGGATCTCAACCAAATATTTTAAAAGCAAGCATCTGAACGCTTGCTTTTAAAAATACTTCAAAAAGTATTGTCAAGGCTGGGTGCCGTGGCTCACACCCGTAATCCCAGCACTTTGGGAGGCCAAGGTGGTAGGACTGCTTGAGCCCAGGAGTTCAAGACCTGCCTGGGCAACATAGTAAAACTCTGTTTCTACAAAAAAAAAAAAAAAAAAAAAAAAGAGTACAAAAATTAGTTAGGCACACGCTTGTAGTCCCAGACACTAGGGAGGCTGAGATGGAAGATCACTCAAGCCTGGGAGGTCAAGGCTGCAGTGAGCTATAATTGTGCTACTGCAGCCCCGCCTGGGTCACAGAGCAAGACCTTGTCTCAAGAAAAAACAAACAAACAAAAAACGAACTGTCAGGGTTTGAACCCAACAAAATAAAATACAGGGAAAAAACAAGAGGTTTAAAGGACAGATTCTAACTTTATGACTTGGGAATTAAGCAGAAAGTCGTCCACACAAAGCACAAGCAGTTCTGGCAAAAAAGCTGACAATAAAGATGGCATTCACCTTGGCAATTAAGGACTATAGATTTGTGTATTTCTACAGTAATTTTTTTTTTTGACCCGTGACACAGCCCTCAGGAGGTCCTGAGAACATGCACCCCTAATTTTTTTCTTAGTTTTTGCAGATACGGGGTCGCGCTATGTTGCCCAGGATGGTCTCAAACTGCTGGGCTCAAGCAATCCTCCCACCTCAGTCTTCCAAAGTGCTGGATTACAGGCGCAGGCCAGCATGCCCGGCCCTCGTTTTCTTATTTCAAAATGAAAGTGGATCTGTGGCATAGACTTTAGATCAGAAATCCCTATATCTAAATCCCAAGATGCTTAATTAGCCATGTGATCTAGTTGGGCAACTTCTGAGCTTCAACTTTCCCATCTATAAAATTTGAGTTTTTTATACAGTTGTTTTAAGGATTAGTTATAATATGCACAAAGTCTCTAGCACAGGACAGGCACTAAGCAGAAGCTCAATAAATAGCAGAGTAACTAGATACAAGGTTTCACAGATGGAGGGGAAAAAAGCACAAGAAGTAATAAAACATTCCATTTGAATATGTTGATTATTCCACTTTTGAACTTACCAACAGATAAAAATTTTCTTTTGCTTAATATAAACTGAAGATAAAATTAAGATATCCCCTAAAAGATTAAGAATTTAATACAGAATACAGAATTAATCCCAGGTATGGAAAGGAACAAAAGTAGGTGAGATATAATATGGTATACTGATTTCAAACTCTAAGGACAGAATTACAGATATTAAAGTAGAAAAAAAGCATAAAAAGTCTAAAACAAAATCTTATGATTTAGGCAAGATACAATAGTGAATCTCGACACAAAACAAAGGCATTAATCAGTTTACCAACACCATCTAAAAATACTTTCGTATCTATCTGAACTGATGACTTCTATTTCTATGTTCCAAAGATAATTTTTTTTTTTTTTTTTTTCTGAGACAGTCTTGCTCTGTCACCCAGGCAGGAATGCAGGAGCACAATCATGGCTCACTGCCGCCTCAACCTCCTGGGCTCAAACAAGCCTCCCACCTCAGCCTCCTGAGTAGCTGAGACCTCAAGTGTCGGCCACCAGGCCTGGCTAATTTTTTTTAAAAAAATTTTTGTAAAGATGGAGTCTCCCTATGTTGCCCAGGCTGGTCTGAAACTCCTGGGCTCAAGCAATTCTCCCCACTAAGCCTCCTAAAGTGCTGGTATTACAGGTGTGAACCACCGCACCCAACCCCAAAGATAACTTTTTATGTTCTAAATTCAAATGTCTATCTATTGCTTTATGACATGTTAGCTTCTCAGAGTCCACATATCCAATTAATACCTTATGTTTCACTACCTCTAACTCCTATATATTACTCTTCTTGTGGTCATAGATACTCTCAAAGTAATTTCAAATCCAGTTGTCCAGTAATGTCAATTCTACTGCCTAAACACATTTCATATCCATGTATACCTTTCACTATTTATTAATTTAATAATAATTGAGCACATACTATGGAAAAGGCATTGAAATAAGTTATTATTTCTCATCCAGATTAATGAGAATACAACCTCTCCAAAGGTCACTCCTCCTGTTCCGCCTGCCACTGACCCTTCTAACTCAGGGCTAGTAGCCCAATCTTGCAAAACCATAAATCTTACATCGCTAGCCTCTTTCAAAAACCTATAGTTTTTAGACAACTATAAAGAATTAAATTCAATGTTTTTAGCATGATTTTAAAAGTCTTTTATAACATAGTATGGTGTTATCTCCTTACCACCACTGAGACACAGTCCAGTGAACTACTAATCCTTATTACAATGTATCTTACACTTTCTTTCTCTGTGCCTTCGCTCACTTTGGTAGAATGGTAAAAATGGCTCCCAATAAATTATGTCTCCCCGTGTTGATGCCCCCATGTAATATGACTTTGCCATATCTTTCATTAAGAGGTGGAGTCTATTTCTCCCATCCCTTAATATGAGCTGAACTTATAACCATATAATGTGGCAGGAACAACATTCTTGGACTTCCTTGCAGCTTCTACTTTCACTCTCAGAATGCAGCCACCATGTAAAATCCAGGCTACCTTGCTAGAAAGGGCCACAGAAGAGGCCACATGGAGGAGAACAAAGGCATTCCAGTAGATAACAAGCAGCAAGGCCCAGATATGTGAACAAAGCTTTTCTTGGATCATTCAGCTACAGGTAAGATGCTTCAGCCAATACCACATGGAACAATAGACCAGCCATTCCCACAGAGCCTTCCTGACCAACAGAATTATAAGCAATAAAATGATGGATGTTTTAAGCCATCCATCATTTTGGGGGATGCTTTTCTAATGCAGAAATAGATAACTTATATATATATATATATAGTTATATATATATATATATTTTTTTTTTGATTATATTTTCTTAAACTTCACTTTTTTCCTGTTACATCTACCCAACCCTCATTGCTAAAGTCTGTCTACTCTCAGGTCAAAAGGCGCCTTTCCAATACCTCAATTATCCAGAGAAATATCTCTTTCCAAAAACAGTAAGTATCCTATTATACCACTTAGAACATTCTCTCATCTCTTACAGTGCGTATCTGTCTTCATTTCATTATAAACTCTAAAAGGGAATGACCTACAATCTCACACAAAGAAGTGAAATACATGAGAGTAATAAAAATAATTTGGCAAGTGATATTTCATTTTAGTTAATCCTGCTAATTTTCTTACCTGTGGGATCCCAAGTTATATTGTGTGCTATTGATTCCAAAAAAAATTGGCCACTTTTCTGCCACTGACTATATAATTCCTAAAAATAAGAAAAAAGTCATTTAGCCCATTATAATTGGCATCTCTGTCAAATGTGTACGTTCCTCTTTGTTCTTATAACACAGGCAGTCAATTTTAAAGATAATGAAGTGTTCAATTCAGTCCACAAAAATATAGAAAATAGGATAAAGAAGACATGGGAGACAATACCTATTACTGGAGGTCAAAATTCTATCATTAGTATAAACAACCAATAACCACATGCTACCTTGGATAACAGTCTTATTAACCTCAGATCTAATTATTATTTTACTACTATTATAGTTATAGCAAAAAGCTTAATTTTAAATATGTCTTTACTATTTGAAGTTTCCTTCTCTTTCACTGTTTTATCCCCACCTGAGATCATAATGGTATGTGAAAAAATTCAGAATAAAAGATGTAACATTTTGATACCATTATGTAATTTATGGCTTTACAACTTCTTAAAGTGAAATTTTGCCTTTTTTTCTTGCCTGCAAATCAGTAACAAACACACAATATATTGTGACCCAGAACACATACATATACAAATAAATACAATCTAGGATTGTCCTTATTACATGTGACATACTCTGGTATTTTCTCTATTTCATTTTCTTTTTAAATTCAGGTTGTGGCCTATACTAAGTTGAGTTCACAGTCCAATTACAGATTAAACTTCATACTCTCTCTCTCAATGTAATGGTTCTCAAACTCTGGTACAACAAAGAATAGGCTGAGATGCTACTAAAAATTCAAATTTCCAAGACCTGTGCCCAAAAATTCAGGTTCAAAAGCTTCAGGATGGGGAGCAGAAATGTGTACTTTAGCACCCCAGGTGATTTTGATGTAAGTGACCTACAGAATATGCTTTCATCGAACACTGCCTTGCAGGAATGGCTTTCAATCACAGTACATACCAGAACCCTCTCTAGAACAAGACATTTAACTGCATAGACACAATCCCACACCTACAGATTTAGAAATTCCCAGGGCAGGACCTGGACACATATATCCAACAGGAGCTGTGAAGTGCAACTCTCATGAAGAACCACCATCTTAAAAGAATACTCCAGAATATACAAAGAAAAGGAAATAATGTATTTTTACAAGGATCTAAGGATTCTAAGACTATCTCTAGAATCATAGATTTTAAGTATCTTTCAAGTCTATAACTTTACCATTTGATCCAGTTTTGCCCTTCTTCATCACGTTTATTATCTTTTCTCCAAAGTCAATGCTAATAAGTCAACAAACCAGCCTCTTTTTGAATTTTATACATTATTATATTCATCAATTATGATTCGCAAAGAAGAAAATGGACAAACACTGAAATTGCCTATTCTACCCTTCTCAATAAAGGCATCTTATCACAGCATACTGATTTTCAAAAGCTACTTACTTTATTTAATAAATATTTACTGAGTATTGAAATACACTGTTCTGCGCTGAATGGGGTAATTACCTTAAAAATTTATTTTTAGTACTGCTAATTACTAATTCTTAAGGCTTTAAGGGCCTCAAATAGATTCACTGTGCAATCTGTAAAAACAAATATAAATCAGACAGAAGTGTGAATACTCCTTCCATGAAATTTAAAGATGAATATCAATTAGCTCAGAAAATATTTTTCATTAACACAAGGTAAGGAAAGAATGTTCACACCTAGGAATCAATAAAGATGGTTTTACTCTTAGTTTTGTGGCTTAACAGCTGTTTCACTGGTCAAGTCACTATTTCCTTTGAGCCTAGTCTACTACCTTACTTGTAAAAAGAAGAAATAATAGCTGTGCAAACTAGATTTGAAGTAATTTGTAAAATACTAATGAGCTAAGTAAAGACATAAAAACTATCAAAAGATATATAAAGGTACATCTGCTATTACAACAGTTTCTTTATAATTAATACATTTCTAAACAGTCTTTGACATAATGTTAGCCTAATAATATTCCCATCAAGAATGAATAGGTATTAATGAATTTGAGAGTTGAGCAAAGAATTTCATAAGGCTAACTTACCTAAAAGAGCAACTAGCTAGATAGCCCCCGATATAGAAACCAGTTCTAAGACTCCCAATACACTGCTCTTTGGATAACACTGTGCTTATCTTATTTCAGGTGTTTTTTTTATTTTTATTTTTAGAGACAGGGTCTTTCTGTGTCACCCCCAGCTGTAATCACAGCTCACGGCAACCTCAAATATCTGGGCTCAAACGATCCTCCCATCTCAGCCTTCTGAGCAGCTGAGACTATAGGCAAGCACCACCATGCCTGGCTAAACTGTTTTTAAACTCTTGCCCAGGCTGGTCTCAGACTCCTGGCCTTATGCGATCCTCCTGTCTCAGCCTCCCAAGTAGCTAGGATTACAGGCACATGCATTAAAGAACTTATAAAATCTACTAACACAATCCAAATATTTATTAACTATTGAGTAAACCAGTTTTCAGAACTATTTTTGAGTACAGCTTCCTTATAAAGAAAACATTCATTGCCCTGTTAACAATTGCATTACATGATCTAAATAATGCAAGAAAGTTAAGCCCTAAAGAGGCAGAAAATCTGTACAAAGGTAGATTATAAAACAAAGAAAAAAGTACGTATAGCTGGACAACAGTATCTGATACTAGCAATAAAGTAAGTGACAAACTTTAGGTTACTGACTCCTCAAATATTTATTATAAAATTTAAAATGTCAGAAATAAAATAATAAAGCATTTCAACAATTCACTGGTACAATTTAGTTTAATTCTATCCCAATGAAAGATTTAAATATATTTTTAATATCAAAATGGAATTTAGCATGTTATCTTCAATTATATTATATGTTATGCTGATTTAGTCAATGATCACTCTGATTTTATACTCTTAATACTTAAGACATTTCAATTCCTAAAAGAGAAAATTATAAATTACTGACCAAATTTTTCTTTTGTTTCGGCAGGTTAACAGGTTCAAAAATGGAGATAACGTTTCCATAAGATGCCGCAATCTTTTAAAAATAAAAAAAAGAAAACTTATTATGGATATGTTAACTTACTTATGAATCAAAAAAAAGCAAAGAAATGAATACTATCACTTTAAATACACTAATACACAGAATTTCATTCACTGATGCTTAAGAATGTCAGTTTTGAAGACTATCACATCTGCGTTAGAATCCTAGATCTGCTATTTACTACGTTAAGTGGCAACTTACTCTCTCCAAACATTAGTTTCCGTGTCAGTGTTCATAATATATAAAACACTATCTTCCCAGCAGAATTATTTTGAAGGTTGAAATAACATTTGTAAAACACCTAGCATATAAGTGATATACAATATGCACAATAAATGTTAATTGTCATCTATCCTCAAAATTCACAATTCTGTCAGTGTACATTAACTTTTCAAAAATATAACTTAGATCTATTCCTCTGCAAACCCTTGAGTACATTTTTAAAAATATTTTACTTATCTTTTGAATTTACTCTTTAAATTGATAGAGCATAACCTTTCCTGGTTCTGTTTTATAAGGTAGCTACTACTATAACTTGAGTGAGTCTCATATGAAGAAAATCAATATATTGGAAATCAAACACAGAGAGAGACAAAGAGATTAAATGAATGAACGAACCATGGATAGAAAAAAGAATATATGATCTAGTAAAGAGGAAGGTAAGAAATGAGGACACAATATACATATGGAGAAAAAACTTTTAATGGGTATTTTAGTTCTTAGGATATAGAGGTCACTTGTACTGAGTTGATCTGTAGGAAGTGTTTAGTTTGAGCCTTTAATTAGGGGTAGGATTTCAAAAAGCAGCAAGTATTCGATTTTATAAATAGGGTGTAGTATAAACACAGGTGTCAAGATTAAAAGAGGCAACGTACGTTTAGAGGTGAATGACCACCATCCCATCAGGAAGAGAGTGCTCCTTGTAACAGAACAGTGTACCTGAGACTAAAAAGGCAGGTCTGAACTAGGTTGTAAAAGGCCTCATGCCAAGGTGAACAATTTGAACTTTTCCAAGGTAATGGGAAGCTAAGAGTATTTTGAAGTTAAGAATATTTTGAAGCTGATGAATAACAGGATAAATGCTGATTTTCTCAGAAAAATTAGTTAGGTGGTAGTACAGTACAAAGCAAAAACACAGTAATAATAAAAATACAGGTGGCAATAATGTTAACATTTCCTTCTTAAATGCAAATAATCAGAAGTCCCCAGGTACCAGAACCTGCAAATTTTCTTCCTGATACTTTAAGGAACCCTAGGATAATACTGATATCTGTAAATCAAAAAAATATTTCTTTTTTAGAATGATTATAAAACCAAATGACTTCTTCATTCCTCTTTTCTGTTTTTGTTTTTAGAAATGGGTTCTTGCTTTGTCACCCAGGCTGCAGTGCAGTGGTGCAACCAGAGCTCACTGCAGCCTGGAACTCCTGGGCTCAAGTGATTATCCCGTCTAAGCTTCCCAAGTAGCTAGGACAACAGGAGCACATCCGGCTATTTATTTTTTATTTTTACTTTTGTAGAGATAGTGTTGCCCAAGCTAGTCTCAAATTCCTGGTCTCAAGGGATCTGCCTGCCTCAACCCTCCCAAAGCTCTGGGATCACAGGCATGAGCTACCACACCTGGCCATGATTTCTTCATTCTAACCTGGACGGTCATATAATCTATCACAAAAAGATAGCTCATATTGGAAAGTATTAAATTCAATTTTTAACATTAACCAGTTCCCTGTGAGTCTAGATGGTATTAAGCAAGTTTTTATACCATAAAGATTACAGAACAAAAGAGCTAGGAGATGAAACAAACATAACAAGCGTGAAAAAAAAAAATCTCAAGGATTTTCAGCATTCCATAATAAAGATCCTTTTTGTTGTATAGTGAGAAGTCATAGGAAGCCTCAACAAAAGACAGGGGACACTTGTAACTATGTTAAAGGGAAGGAATACCATGTAACAAAAGGAACAGTAGTCCAACAAATAGGTAAAGATTGAGAAAACAGAAACTCCTTTTACAATTAATATCTTTATGTCTCAGTGAGTAACTTTTAATACTAGGTTTACCTCAAATGAAGATTTTAAAAACAAATGATTGGGTCCATGAACTCTTATATAACCATTTTGATTCCTTACATAAAATGTTCTAGTGCCATCATATGAGTGTATTTGTAAAGTTCAGTCCAGTCTAGCTACACAATTATACATAGGCCTTACCATCTATGCCTAAATGGAATTATTTTAAGCTACATATTATGCTCCCTTGCCTACTAGTATGACTCTCTCATTCTGGTATTACACGAACTGTATTTAAGCTGATTTAGAAGAATTTTACACTTTGTTTCTTTTGTTTTTATTTTTTTTACACTTTGTTTCTTTTGTTTTTGTTATTGCTATTTTACTTCCAAGGTTACCTTTTTACTTTTCATATGCAAATAGAAGTCCAGATAAAGTTTTTCAATTTTCTTATAGGCTTAGAAGAAATTAATATTATAAACTCTAGAAGAGTTTTTCATTTCCACACAAAGTTACACAGTTCTTGCTACACAGAAGCTACAAGGAGATAACTACCTGTTTACAGACCAACAAAACCTCTAAGTCATTTCCTTCAGTTTATTTGTAAACAATTAAGATTTATTGTTATCCCTTTCCCTCAATCCAATTGCCTTTTAAACAAGTAAGCTTTAGACTCATTCTATATCAAGAATAAAATATAAGTATTATATTTCTTTTTCAACTCAAAGAAAACGATGCTACAATTTAACGTTATATAAAAATAGAATTTCTAGCACTCTACAGAATGCATCTTAGAGAATCAAAAATATTTTTAGCTACGCTATCCTTGAAACAAAGCCAAGTCCCTAATTCAATAGGAAATACATACTTCAGAGATTATCCTGACAAAAACCATATTCCAAACAAATTTGCATATTAACCACAAGATTACAAACCTTGCCTTGTTGCATTGAACAGTCTACGCATCCCACTTGAATATTTCCATGTTTAGCTCCTGGGATTATCTGTAATCTTTCAAAATCACTTCCCAGTATTACAATGTCACATCCAGATGCATAAGCCTAAAAAATAAAATAAAAATGATAAAAGTGTCAAGAAAACATTTACCATGTAGAATACTAGCATTAACTACCACGTTTAAAGGTGGGGAGAATAAATGTTTCAAAAGACCAATTTTAGATGTTCTTTTCTTCAAAAAAAATCTATATTTGGAACTATTTCCCTTACCTCCCCATACACAGCCTATTCGCAAATTCTGTCAGTCCTGATGCAAAATATGCGTCAACTCTGTGAACTTCTTTCATCTCCAATGATTGCACAACCCTCGTCTAAACCATGATCATCTCTGTCCAGTCCTACCGTTAATAGCAAACTTCCATTCTTGCCTCCTTCTAATTCATTTCCACAAAGAGTGATATTTGAAAAATGCTTATTTTACCAAGTAATTTTCCCTGCTTAAACTCAATAGTTTTCCACTGTGCTTGGAGTAAAATCTCAACACCTTGCCATGGTCAATATCCTAAATGGTGGTCCTTCTATAAACCCACCTCAGGCTACTCTTTCCTTCTCTCAGTTGGCTCTTGTTTCTGTTCCTTTTTCCATCTCAAGGTGTTTAACTGCCTAGTCTTTTCTAGTTAGCTGCTTTCCAATATTCAGGTCACAGTTCCCAACCATTAACTCTCCTATTACTTTCTATCAGATTACTGTTGATTTTCTTCATGGCATATATCACAATTTTTAAATATCTTGTTTATTGTGCATATCTATTCTAAAAGTTAAATTCCAAAAAGAAAGGATTCAAATTTATCTTGTTCTCTGCTCTAGTCCTCAATTCTAACACAAGAGCCTAAAGCACAGTTAGTAATTTATAAATGGAATAAATTAAGCATTTAATTTCACAAAAACAGTCACTACAACAAAAGAAAGTATACATAGTTCAAGGCTTGTTGGCAAGCATTTCATATCTCTTTTTCAATTTTACAACAGTTAGCATAACTCTCCCAACCAGAATTATTTGTGTGTCCCTTTCCCTACCACCTTCTTTGATCCCAGGAGTTTCTTCCATTACAGGGTACATGGTTGTTCTCCTAGGATTCATATTATAGGCTGGCACACGTTACAACAATAAAACATCCAACACAAACTGTTTTCCATCCTGAGTTCATTAAGTTTTATCAATTCTCGACTTGCTCCTCATTTTGGCACAAGCATGTATATTTAAAATTATATTTCATATATACTTTACCTTCTTGATTCCTACCAAAATCAAAATTATTCCGTATATCCAACAAAAATATTAAAAACGGGACTTGAGAGAACATACAAATAAATGTGCTCCTATTATAGAAAAGAAAATCAAGGCCCAAATAAATTGATAATGTTTTAGTGGCAGAGTGGACTTCAGAACCTGATCTCTTGATTTTTGGCCTCTTGCTATTTATTTCCATTGTACCAATAGCGTTCTCCCCTAGTTAACATGCTTGCCTGGAATTATTCCTAAAAATAATAAAGAATAATCACGTATCATTCCACTAGTATCACATAGTGAAAAGAACTGGCTCAAACAAACAAAAAAATCACACAATGATCTCTTCTCCTATATAAGTATCATGATGGGATCATAAGACTTGTCATAAGGCCATTAGCAAGAATAAATTCCAAAGACTAATTTTAAGAGTTGCCTTTCAAATAATTTAGAAACAAATTTTTCTACTTGATATTAAATTTTATAATACTGATTGTCACTGTTTCTCAAAATATTACGTTAAATTTTATACATTGACAATTTAGATTTGCCCCCTTTTAAACAACATCTTTGGTTTCCATTAAGCAGAATAAGAAACTCATGTCTTCATAACTTTACCTTTGTTATACTTGAAATTATCTACCTAATTTCAGATATTATGTTGCATGTATTTTGTCAAACATGACTCAAAATTTTCCCATATCATGTCTATATTAATATTGAAGTACCACACAAATTACTATTTATTACAAGTATTATACTTGAAGAGTTGAGAAATGTAAAGTAATCCCAGAAATAAACACTTGGTAGTACAGAGAGGAAAATACTAATAACACAATTACCACTTCATCATTCAATGACTTAGCTAGTTCTGAATTACCCTTGTTCTTTGGCTGCTGCTGCTTCACACTACTACTATTTGATCAGTGATGGTAATAGAAGTTACAAAGCTGTTTCTTTAGGCTTGGTTAATTTTAAATCAAATAAAATTATTGAACTTGGCTGGGCGTGGTGGCTCACACCTGTAATCCCAGAAAAATGGGAGGCCAAGGCAGGCGAATCGCTTGGACCCAGGAGTTAAAGACCAGCTTGGGGAACATGGCAAAACCATCTCTACAGAAAACACAAAAATTGTGTTGCAGTGGCGCACGCCTGCAATCCCAGTTACCCAAAAGGCTGAGGTGGGAGGATAACCTGAGCCCAGAAGGTCAAGGCTGTGGTGATGAGCACCACTACACTCCAGCCCAGCCAAGAGAATGAGACCTTACCTAAAAATAAAAAATTAAAAAAATAGGGTCGATGCAGTGGCTCACGCCTA